ATTTGTGCTCGTTTGTCTGAGAAGCGGCGGCAAGTCCAGGCATATAGTGCTTTCTTGGGGATTTCTGTGGTGTTTCGGAGCTGAGTAGGAAGGAGAAGTGCCTGTACAAAGTGTGAGCTCTGCCCTACCTGGTAGCTCTTATCAAACATTAACCTGACCTAGGCCAGCTTTGTTGTTGTTTTTTTGTTGGTTTGTTTTTTGTTTTTTTTTTTTAGCGCTCTCCCACCCTCTCAGTACGTACAAAGGAGTTCACATCCAGCTCTTGCAGTGCTTTCTGATCGCATTGTTGAATGTGCAGAAGGAATCCCTGACATGAAGGGTGGGATAGAAACGTTGATGTTTACATTAAAGAAATGAGAAACATTTATGTTAATGGTGAATCACTGGTTTGTATTTGTAAAAAATTATTTTGTAAAAAAAGTGGAATACTTCATCCTTTTGAAACAATTTTTTCCTGTTTCTTGACATGTACAATTATTTGATTTCCCTGTAAACTCTTCTTCTTAGTTTTGTTCATTATTTCAGTGTTATAAAGGTCTATGACGACAACTTTGATAGTTGTAGTGCTTCTATGTTTGCAACATTGCAATTGTCCTTTAAACCGTTCCTGGAGAAGCATGCTATTTTGTGCAAAACTGTCATTTTAGCAGGAAATGTTTTAATTTTTTCTGCATTTTTTTTTCTTTACCATAACATAGAAATCTAGAAGTTAAGACCACACATTCGCTTTTATGTCATAAGTATTAAGTAGTTCTTGGTGACACTAAAGCACGATCCTGTTTTCTGTGTTGGTGAGGTTTTCATTTTGTTGTTGCGGGGCAGTTGTTTTTGAATTTCTTCCTTTCTTAACAGCTCTTATGTGAGTGCATTTGTATTAATAGCTGACAGAGTAGCATTTTAGGATTGTGTACATGATTTTAGTGACAGGATTACTAGCAATGCCATATTCAATGGGAGAAGCATGCCATGCCACTCCTTAGATGCTCCTTGCTACTCAATGGTACAAGTAAGAAAAATATTTTAAATAAGTAACAGGTATCCTTGGGATGGAGTTGGATGCAGCAGTAAGGCAGTTTCTTGTCTTTTTAAATGCTTTCTGAAAACACGTAATTCCTTATTACAAGCAGGATTTCAGGCTTTTTTTTTTCCCCTCCTTTATAAAAAAAAAAAAAGTGTTTTGAGCTGTGTGTGCTTTGCACAGCTGGGTGTGCCCTGCACGAAGCGCTAGATACTGTGTGTTCTCTCCGAACACTGTTTATCATTCATGGCCAGATGTTGTCAAACAAAATTTGTATTTCATCACAGCCAATTAATCGGCACTGGATAAATGAACTGTTTGATTTCTCTTGCTTATGAAACCAATTGAGTTGGAAAAAAAACCCCTTCAGTTAAATAAGGATGTCCTGAAGGAAGTCAAGGTGTTGTAAACATGCTTTGAAGATCCACTAATGCCTGGTTGAAAAGCGGTGGGTTTGGATCACTTTTTGACGGGCTGCGCGCAGAGGGTTCCTGGGGCGGACCTTTACCTTTGATGGTTTTGCCTTACGGTGTCTGGGAAGATGGAGCAATGCTGCAACTGGTGAGGGTGCTGGTGAACTTGTGCAAGGACAGGCTCTTGGATGCCTGATGTGGTTCAAGAGAGGGAAGAAGTAGGCTGTTTGTCCTACGCCTGTACGCAGGGGTTGGCCATGATCCTCTTTCCTTTAACAACATTGCCAGTGTGGCAATGTGGGTGTGTTGGGTTTTGTTGGGGTTTTTTTGTTTTGGTTTGGTTTTGTTTTTTTCTTTTGAAGTGTGGTCCAAAAGTCCCATACCTGGGATCTGTCCCCCTGTCCCAGAGCTGAGGGGGTGGGAGATGGGAAGCAGGAGGAATGCTGCAGCAGGCGGGCAGGGCAGCAGCAATGCCGCAATTTCATAATGCGAGTCGTTATGAAGTCCAAGATGATGATTACTTGAGTGAACTCTAGCCAAAGCCATGCCCTTTTTGGTTGAAAGATGAACAGAAAATACCAAATAGGATTTACTAAGATGTTGGAATGTGAAATGAAAATTGTGTTTCTGGTATGGACGACTCGAATGACACTCGACTATTTCATTTGCTCAGTACATCTAGATCAGCAGTTGACAGTGGTTAAAGTGAATTTCACAAGTGAATTTCGTG